AGTTTAATATATATATATATATATATATATATATCTATGTTTTGTGTTAAAAATACTGCATTCAGTTGAACCACTCTGATATCATGTAATGCAGAGAAATCTTTCCTGCCAAATCGCGATATAGATGGTTCTTCTTCTATCCCCGGGATAAGAAGTACTCGAATGGCTCACGAGCCAATCGAGCCATTCGAGCTACTAAGGCTGGATACTGGAACGCAACTGGTAAAGACGGGAAAGTTGTATTTCATGAGCCTGAAGTTGTTGGATATCGAAAGACATTAGTGTTCTATCAAGGTAGATCTCCTCTCGGAGACAAAACAGATTGGATGGATGATGTACGAGTATCGTCTCTGTGATGATGTTTCACAAGACGCTACGAGTTTCTAGGTAGATTCAACAAACTCAATGTTCTACTACTTGAGTCGAGGGTCTTTTGGAAACAACCTTTCTACAGTTCTACCTCCACGAGGTAGTGGTAAGGTATGTGTACACTCTACCCTCCTCAGACCCCAGACTTCACTTGTGGGATTTCACTGCATATGTTGTTGTTGTTTGATCATATTCTACTATTTGAATATGTTCAAGAGGCGTTTGCACTTTGTCGTATCATCAAAAGAAAAAATGCCTCATCGAAAACAAGTGAAATTTCACTAGCAATCTCGAACAATCCTGCTGTTCTTACTGCTGAAACGTGCAACGATAGCAACTATTAGACTCCTATTAGGATGTCATATGATCATATGAGTCTTGATTCTTCAATGGTATTGAATTGTTCCTTTTTTGTACCTCTTCTGTATTTAACTCTGTTTCTTTTGAACTTCATAATGATTCTGGTGGCTTCCTTCGTGTAGGAATGTCCTCGCTATGAGTTCCCAAACGTGGCATCGTGGCAACCAAATGATCGAATTGAGGTCACAACAAGCTCAACTTCCCCTCTTAAATTCGGGGAAGTTGAACCTTCGGGTGATCTTAGTAGCTTTGGTTGTGTATCTCCCTACTCGATTCATTGAAGCTACACGAGGCTTTATGATAGTAATGTTATGTCATACGAAGGTTGTGACCAAACGAATTCATTCGAAAAAAGCTGGTTATATGAAAGAGAAGACTAATGTAAGACTTTCATGTTTATAACTGCAGGAAATGAAGGTTGGAATCAAGCTAATTTGGGAGATGTAAACGGTTTATGGTCACACGAAGATAACTTTCAGTAACTGAATCAACGCGATTCAGTACTCTAATTTATCTGAGACGACAACTTTTTTATGTTCGTCTCAGAGACATTGGATTATAGCACATCGAATATGGTTTCCCCGAGTTCAATTCTAGTTAGTACGTTCTACATTGTTGTCGTTGATGTATGAGAGAAAACTAGCGATGATCCTACTTAACGATCACATGATTCTCTTTATGATGTGTATGGAATACCAAGCATCAAATGTAGCCAAAAAGTTAGTAGTCAACTATTGAATAGTTCAAAAGTATGTTGTTCAGACTCTTCAAAAATGTCGACTAATGTGAGTCAGATCCTCCAAAAATAGCGTATTTTTTGTCGTATCTTTTAAGCGTTTGAGTAACATAGGTTCAAAATATCATAATGATTCATTCTTGTGGAGTTGTAGTACTTAGTCGGGGCTTCACTGAGGGCACCCAACATTAGGTGGGAAACCAAAAAAACCTCACCTACTATAATGAATTCAGTGCTAAAAACCTTATAGATCAAGTCCATCAAATTAAAATCGTGAATTTGCTTAAGCAATCAAACTCAATACTTTCCACACAAAACATCGATATATATGTGGGAAGACTAACTTAAATTTTCACTAAATATTCAATTCTTGAACTTCAAGGGAAGCTCTGGAGCAACAATAAAATAATCTCCATGTAACTTATAGGTCACAAGTTCGAGTGCTGGAATTATCTAAAAAAAACTTGTATCACCCATTATCCTTCTCCAAATTCTGCATTAATGCGAGATGCTTCGTGCACTGAGTTTCCGTTTTATTGAAGTGTAATCCCTTTATACCTCAAAAGTTGCTCAACACCAATAAAGAAATACAAAAAAATCAACACCATAAAACAAAAGAGAGAATCAACAATTTCCTGCTTTGATTATATATTCTCTTTGTAAACAATGTAAGAAAATGACTTAATAAAAAAAAAGACACTAATAAAAGTTTAGAAAAGGGTAACTAAAAAGCTCAAAATCCATTAACACACTATAAAGAGAGAATAAATATTCATTTGAATTTAACTTCTATAATAATAATATAAAAGATTTTTTCATGACCATAATTAATTGTCCATAAAAATAAGACTAATGGTCTAAAAATATAGGGTACCTAGTATAACAAGTTGATATATACGAATAGTGTAGTTCTTTTTGTATTGCTAGTTATGGAGCTAGGAAATCGTAAGGGGTTCATGCATAGAATCGAAGTCATGAATATGTAAAGTTTATGAATTTTGAATTTGACATTAAACCTATAGCTTGTTTTAGTTACTTTCACGATTAAATATTTATATATAGTGGTAAATATGGTATTTGAGTCTAACTCTATCCTAAAAGTAATTCATGAATGATGATTGCTTCGGTCCAAAAGCCACCGATTCATTCTTCCACCAATATGGCTTTATCAATATTTAATGAATTTTCTAATATAAATACAAGGTCTAAACGAAAGGTTACTTTGTTTGTTCAATAACCTACATAAGGTCCAAACGGTTTAATTGCTCAATTACGGTTTCCTCCCAAAATTATGTTTAGGAGTGTTGACGGTTGGGTAAAAATCGATTCAAACCAGAAAATTGAACTAAATCGATAAAATAGATCAATTTTATTTGAGTTTGATTTGGTTTGGTTTTTAGATTTTTGAAACTGATAGGATTTTATTTTTTTATGATTTTATTCAAAAAATTAATGAAATAACTGAACCAAATCAATAAGTTATATACTTATATTTTATGAATATACATACTTAATATATTATTTTTATAAACAATTTTAAATATCTTATATATGAATTCATTAAAATTTCTTTTCAATTTACTTATTAAAAGCAAAAATATTTATCTTATTGATTTCATGTATATGAGTATCTATAATAATTCTTTGTAGGACTGAAAATGTTATTGTCTCTTCCTTCAAGGCTAAAATGGTAAATTTTAAAACTTTATTCATAGTAAATTCAGTGATTGAAAGTTAAATAATTTCAATCGTTCTAACTATTTTTCGTTTTGAATGGGTCGTTGTCACTTTTTTTTCTCCACATTTTGAATGAATTGTTTCTTTTATTTTTGTGTATGGTTAATAATCGAACCAAATAAAATCAAATCAAAACCGATAACCACCAAACTGATAAATGTATATTATATTTGGTCTAATTTGATTTTAATAATTTAAAACCGATTAAATTGATTTGATTTTGATTTTGACCAATAACCAATTCAAACCGATCCGTGCACATCCCTATGTTATAGATGTCTAGCTAGAAATAGGCGTTAGACACCCTCCACTTTTTACTAGTTAGAGAGACCCCTTAATATATTGAGAAAAGGTATTCATCCTGCTAGAGAGACTCAGAAAAATGCAAATGATATTTTGATATGCTATACATATTTTAGTTTGAAATCACATAATCTAAATGTTTCTTTCTTCTTAAATTTTGTGTCTTGATCAAAACAAAACACATTAAAAAAAATTTAAGAAAAAGAAAGTAATACTTGCCAATAATTTACAAACATGCAAATTTAACTATCAAAAAATGATGAATATACAATAATAACAAGATTCAAGGTCAAATATTTATATATTTAATGAATTTCTAATACATACAAAAAATCTAAATCAAAATAATTAATTTATGTGAATTAATTAATTTATGTGAATTCATGACTTGTAAAGTAAGTCAATCTCATAGTGCTATCAGAATTTACAAATTGATTGCCTGATAGAGTACAAAACATTTCAATATTCAAAATAAAGATTTTAAAACCAATCATTTAATTACTTTAAAATCTATTTCGCTTACATTTATAAAAACATAGACACAAATCCACACATAGTGACTAACTGGTTGGCGTTAAATTTCACTTTACTTTTATCACCATTTTAGTGAAGCATAAAGATGGAGCGACTCGATAAAATGTTTGATCTAAAGCCAAAATTTAGAAAAGAGAGTTATATTTATTTAAATTGTTTAATATATTTTATTTTCATACGTACTAAAAAAATGTTATAATTGATTATAATTTAATAATTAATTTTTCTTTTTCAATTGACCATATTACATTTCTTGCATATTTTGTAAGAACAGAATAAACATATATAAATTATTGTATATTGTATAACAACACAAAGGTTTAAATCTCTTTTATTGATTATATTTTGAAAACTTTTTCAATAAAATCAATTGTTTCAGAAACTATCAAAATTATTCTAAAACTGTTTATATTGTAGTAATTGTTACCTTTAAAAGTCATTCAAAGTTATATATATATATATATATATAATGACAAGAGAAATCCGCAACTGCTACTTTTTGGGTGTGCTCATGGTAAGACCTTTGCTTCTATGCAATAGCTCGCACACCACACAAGAGAGGCAATCCGCACTAGGCTCGATCTAGAAGTCAAACCCCTTTGAACTTGTAACCTCCAATATAGAAATCTCAAGCTCAAACCACTAGACAAATCCCCAAAGGTTATTGTTAATTTAATTAGTTTGAATTTGAAATGTTTAATAAAACATTGAAAGAATTGACACAATCTTACACAGACAATATTAGAGCTCATTTGCGATATGATATCATGATATGGAATCATAAGATGAAATTGAAGTTTTGTTTGGACATGCGATATAGAATTTTTGTGTTGTATATTTTCTCATAAACATAAAAATCTCATAAGTTGTAAAATTATTAAAATAGCCCCAATTGTTTATTCAATCTACTCAAATAAAAAAAAATATAAAATCGCATAATAAATTATTACAAAGGTATTTGTTCTCTACTTAAGTAATTATTTCATCTAGCTTTAGTTTAGCAAAAAAATTGAATATAAATTGTAATGTACTAGTTTTTAATATAATCCTCCCACATAGTACGAACAATTTCTTCAAGTTGAACTAGCAATTCTCAATCATGAGATTGAGAAGACGAACCAACATTGTTGCTTTGTGTCATTTGTTTGTCAATATCATTCCGCAACTATATTTTCATGTTTATAGACCATAAATATTTCATCACTTTAAAAATCGATTGGTGTAAGTTAAAGTGACTATATGTTGGTAAAAATAATAAATTTTATGTCGGTGAGAATAATAAATTTTAAAAAGAAATGATGTGATTATAAATTTTATTCACATATAAAATATATGGTTAGTAGATATAAATGTGGGGTTATTTTAACAAAATATAAACTTGTGGGTCAATTTTTTATTAAAATTTCTCAAATCACGATATGAAATCACCAAGTAATTCCATATCTTTTGGAGAATATGGAATCGCATCTCACGATATAGAATCATGAGATGGAATCAGCGTGAAATCGCATGTCCAAACGTTGATTCCAACTTACGATCACATAGCCAAACACCTACTTAAAACGATTAAAACATGATTGATTCAAATTGAAGTGAATTAGATAAATTAAGAAATAAAAAGTAATTGTAAAGTTAATAGTCTACTACTTTTAACAATAATAATAAAATTTCAAAAATATGTGCATGATAATTAATTAGAGATTGTGGATCTGTGGGTAAGAGATTAGCAACAAGCTATAAGAAAATTTTAATTCGTAACAATAAATGCATAATTCTTTTTTATACTCTACTTGGGTATTTTGTTTCTTCCAAGTGTTAATACAGTGCTTCTTACAAAGGCCTTCATCATGTATGCATCTCCTTCATCTTTTGTCTGCTCAATGCTTTTGTTTTTTTGAGGCCTCTAAAGCCACCACTGCTTTAATGCCTTTAGGGTTGAGCCGCGGCGGGAGACAAGAGCTGAGCATTACCATTCCATGACGAAGATGTTACTTGTAATTCTACAGCAAATTACGTATTCAAACATGGTACAAAATGAATTTGATTCGAGCAAGGGCAGTAGAAAAGGACGCGATATTTGTTTTCATTTGAATGTTGAACGTCTAGGCTCAAAATCGACCTGCCCGAATATCTCTGTCAATATGTTCTGCATTGAGGGTTCCTGGAAGCTCTCGAAAATCTTCATTGAATACAGAATATGCACTGCAAAGGACGACAAAGTTTGAGGGTCACCATATTTAGCAAAAATCATATACTATTTTATGTGCTTCAGTAGTTGAAGTTGGAAATCCAAAACAAGAACACCAGACTGCGTAAGCATGTCAATACGCAGATGAAGACACACTTAAAGTATGTTTGGAGAGGGGGGGGGGGGGTAGAGGACAGTATAGACTATCAATTGAGGCAAACAAATTTATAACGCAGTAAATGAGTGTCCAAGTGATTTCGAAGAAATCTATCTTCTCATCACAAAATAATTACACTCACAACTGAAAAGCATATCAACTTGGAGGTTTAACAGTTAACAAAAGGAACAAAGACTCATGTAT